ATTGCTCACTGGAGCGTATCACCGAGGTCACTCATTCGTATCCTTGACATATCGTATCCGGAACCTGTCCATTAATCATTGTTATGAATTTCAACCCAATAGCATGTATCAATTTTGAGATATCGCAAAAAAACTGAAAACGCGTTTTGCTCACTGGAGCGTGAAAGCGTGGTCAGTCATGCATAAAATTTGCAATTTATGACGGGGGACTTATTATCTGCATGTGATGTAAATTTCAAGTCTCTGAGTGGTGTCGTTCTCGAGAAGAAGATGAAAATGTAAAATCCTATATTGCTCACTGGAGCGTATCGCCGAGGTCACTCATGCGTATCCTTGACATATCGTATCCGGAACATGTCCATTAATCATTGTTATGAATTTCAACCCAATAGCATGTATCAATTTTGAGAAATCGCAGAACAACTGAAAACGCGTTTTGCTCACTGGAGCGTGAAAGCGTTGTCAGTCATGCATAAAATTTGCATTTTATTGCTAGCTGAGAACTTCTGCACATTTGAGGTGAATTTCAAGTTTGTAGGACCAATTTGAAAAAAAAATAATAAAAATAAATAAATAATAATAAATAAATAATAATAATAATAATAAAACACAGGAATACAATAGGTTCCCTGCTGACAAGCAGCGGGAAGCCTAATAATAATAAATAAATAATAATAAATAAATAATAATAAATAAACTAGAGCTGCGTGCAGCTTTAACAGGCTTCCCGCGTAAAAAAAACTGAAGACGCGTTTTGCTCACTGGAGCGTGAAAGCGTGGTCAGTCATGCATAAAATTTGCAATTTATGATGTGGGACTTATTAACTGCATGTGATGTAAATTTCAAGTCTCTAAGTAGTGTCGTTCTCGAGAAGAAGATGAAAATGTAAAATCCTATATTGCTCACTGGAGCGTATCGCCGAGGTCACTCATGCGTATCCTTGACATATCGTATCCGGAACATGTCCATTAATCATTGTTATGAATTTCAACCCAATACCATGTATCAATTTTGAGAAATCGCAAAAAAAATGAAGACGCGTTTTGCTCACTGGAGCGTGAAAGCGTGGTCAGTCATGCATAAAATTTGCAATTCATGATGGGGGACTCATTATCTGCATGTGATGTAAATTTCAAGTCCCTAAGTAGTGTCGTTCTCGAGAAGAAGATGAAAATGTTAAATCCTATATTGCTCACTGGAGCGTATCGCCGAGGTCACTCATGCGTATCCTTGACATATCGTATCCAGAACATGTCCATTAATCATTGGTATGAATTTCAACCCAATAGCATGTATCAATTTTGAGAAATCGCAAAAAAACTGAAAACGCGTTTTGCTCACTGGAGCGTGAAAGCGTGGTCAGTCATGCATAAAATTTGCAATTTATGATGGGGGACTCATTATCTGCATGTGATGTAAATTTCAAGTCTCTAAGTAGTGTCGTTCTCGAGAAGAAGATGAAAATGTTAAATCCTATATTGCTCACTGGAGCGTATCGCCGAGGTCACTCATGCGTATCCTTGACATGTCGTATCCGGAACATGTCCATTAATCATTGTTATGAATTTCAACCCAATACCATGTATCAATTTTGAGAAATCGCAAAAAAACTGAAAACGCGTTTTGCTCACTGGAGCGTGAAAGCGTGGTCACTCATGCATAAAATTTGCATTTTATTGCTAGCTGAGAACTTCTACACCATTGAGGTGAATTTCAAGTTTGTAGGACCAATTTGAAAAAAAATTATAAAAATAAATAAATAAATAAATAATAATAATAATAATAATAAAACACAGGAATACAATAGGTTCCCTGCTGACAAGCAGCGGGAAGCCTAATAATAATAATAATAAAACACAGGAATACAATAGGTTCCCTGCTGACAAGCAGCGGGAAGCCTAATAATTATCATCGTTATAGTGGCGTTAATTTGTGGAAAATTTGTGATTTAGAGACAATAAACATCAACGTAAAGGCGTTTACGGCCTAAATAACACGTCACAATGATAAAAACAATCGGCGATTTTAGCAAAAAGCAATTGTACGTGTTATTGGCGACTTTTTCAGTTTTCAAAAAACGAGTGCAAATGTCTGTGGGTGCAAATGTCCATGGGTGCAAATGTACGTGCGTGCAAATGTACGTGGGTGCAAATGTACGTGGGTGCAAATGTCTGTGGAGTGTGTAGGTGCAAATATCCTGAGTGCAGTTTACGTGTGCAAATTTACGTGGGTACAAAGGTACTGTCGTCTTTTGAGTTGAATATTTTTGCAGTTAGCAATCAAGAACACCATTGCATATAATGCAGGGAAATAAATGATAAAGAGGAATTGCGTGTTTATGTGTTGTAAAATTTTTAAACCTTCAGTAAACTTTTCCATATAAATTCCAATACAATGGCAGTGAATGAATTCTGCGTTTGAGTCGTATTTACATTGCAGTTATTACATGGAGGTTGCATACGCAGTATACAGCGCGACGTAAAACCTTGTCAACGATTACGAGAATAAAATTAATAATTCTATTCATAGTTGCCTATTCATAAATTTGATCACACAAATGGCAAATGCCAGTGAACCATCTATCTGGGGCGAGCACGCGCTCAAAATTCGTCGTGTTTGTACTCCTGTGACGTCCGACCTAATATTTTATAATGTTTATGGAATTTTTCGAACACGAAAAACAATATTACTGACCCTCAAGTTTCACAACTATGATCATAATCGTTTGCGATGGAGCAGATTTTTCTATTGCCCATTGTTTTATTCATTCATATTATCCCAATACAAGGGTCGCGTATACAAAGGCGTCTGAGCCATGCCTGTGATTTAAACAGTTTCTAACACGATGGATAAGATCTTATAATCCTTGTTAGTTATTGTGTAGTTTGGCACTATGTACATGAAGCCCATATATCGGGAATGAGGCATTTCTGGACTCTATGTCGAAAAAGTTATCTGAGAAAACGGATTCGCATGCATATAGCAGGTAGCTATATTTTAGCAGTCTGAAGGTTCACTCTCAACAACTGATTCATTCATGTGTCCAACTACAACAATTATGTTACTCAAATAGAAAGTCTACCCATTGTAGAAGTGTTTAGTAAAATGTACAACGGTTCCACGACTATAAGTGAGTTCATCAATTAGTACATTTCGAAGATTGCGCGTGCTACAAATCTAAACAATAGGTTTTATGGGTAGATTAAAAAAGTCTTTTTCGACACTAACTTTTGTTAAAACAAAATATGGATCAAATTTGGAATTAGTGCTGAGACGCAGCATCAGCGAAATAGAGTCAAGATCCGATCCTTTGTGCGAAATTATACAAGCACGTCGGTCTCATTAAAAGTATTGTAGGCTTTATTATTTTTTTCTACAGATAGACATCTGCTTCTTGGCATTTGCGCAATTGCGCGTTTATCGTGCACTTGGAATTTGGTCATAACCGAATGTTCAAGCTTGCCAAATTATGTAATAAAAAATCCATTATATTTTACGGTTTACGAATACGCAACTATGAATCAAAATATAATTCTTTTATGTCGTAAAATTTCTCCTAAAAATCCTACATATCAGAGATTTACGACACGCTGTATTATTAACATGCAATACGACAACTTTAATATAAGTTCACTACCCGCGATTGCAAATCATTCTCCATAATAGTGGAAAATGCAGAATCCGATCATTAAATACATTGAATTGGAATATTTTGTAAAATTAATGTGTCTTTGAATTGCCAGAGTATGTATAACGATACGATTTGAGCTCAGGATAGGCCAATCAGTCTGTTAATTTTGATTGCGAAAGTCTAATAGATCGTATCGTAAGCTAAAAATGGTTTGTTCAGAACAATATCTCGATTAAAGAAATTTATTATTCATGTAATTGTTAGTTGTAACGTGACAGAGACTCTCTTCTAATACTCATATCCCAATGCATTTCAATAGATTAGAGCAGCGTTTCCCAAACTTTTTTGGCCCCGGAACACTTACGATTTTTATCTCGCCCCTCGGAAAATAAAAGGGTAAAATTGTTAAAGAAAAATGGTGTAGTGCAGCGATTCCCAAAGGGGTAGCGAGTTGCCAAATGCGCCGCGAAAGCTAACACAGAACTAAAATATGATTGAATATTTTACATATTCCATTTATAATATTGTTTCTTATTTTAAAAGCTGTGTATATGAATCAATAAATTCATTTTACCTTTCTATGCTGACTATTAACAAAAACGCCACAACCTTCAAAAAGTCTATGGAGTATACATGGTCGTTTCATAGAAATAAATCAATTTGGGATGGTGTTTCGAATAAAACTAATGTTTCCAAGCTTACACGCATTAGGTGGGGAACAATGTTAGATGCAATTTTTTGAATAAAATGCATTTAGTTGGCGATTCAATATCGTCCCAGTGTCCGGATCCTGGAGCTAGCCTAGGCTAAAATACTCAGTTTATGGTGACATATTTTTCTTTGAAATTTTTTCTATTTAAAATTTTTCTTAGATTATGTCAGGGGTTTTAGGATACATCTGTTTTTGATTGACAGTTCGCCGCTTCGAAATACCGCCAAATTAAAATTTGCGGTCTATGTGGCAGTCCAAACGAATCTTTTTCGATGTTGATTGTCAAACAAATCCATTTCCATACCCTAAACTGCTTTATCACTTTGAATGTTCAATGGCGTTGTTGTATCACGTCACGAAATGCTTGGACATGCAGAAGTGCATCCAGCATTTATGGCTCGAACAGATATGAGCATCTGATATAAAAAGAAAAAGACGGGCAGAACGCAACATTGGTAATAAGTACTCGGTACCGACTACCTTTATACAATTTATCTAACGGTTGTCGAGTTATGAAAAGCGAAAGGGCTTTTACTGGCGGCTCAAATATTACTTAATACACTGTCTTATTCAACTCGCCAGTATTGACAATTCCTGCTATTCATTATTATCGTATTAAACCACAACTGAGTATTATACTTATATCAATAAATTCTTTTAGTTTGAAAACCACTTCAAATTATTAGAGATAAAATGGAGTCTTCGAATGGATACTTTCAAGTTGCTGACTTCGTTATATTTGGGGGTGAGTTTTGAATATTTTGTTGCAATAATAACATTGAATGAATTCTTAAATTCCCACGGCAACAATCATTTCGTGGCTCAGTTATAATGGCAAAGTTTTTCTTGAAGAAAGTTTTGTTCAGACAATCACATTCCTTGGCATCGAAATTTTGCTTCATGGGAAATGGCGTCAATTTCCCCATTCAAAACTTCTATTTAGAAAAGTGATAGAATAGATCTGACGCTTATTATCGTTGTCTTATTCAATTCACTCACACCTTATTTAGGAATATTGCTTTCCTCTGCTGCGATTGGAATCTATTTTGCTTATAAAGACAGACGCGATGAAACGATCGAAAATTATTACTTTGGCCGAAGAAATGTATCACCGGTATATAAGCCATCTTTTCATTAATTTATAATTTGTGTTGGGATTGAATTTTTGATTTCCAAAGAATTGGAATTCGGCCGTTTAACACTGGTTTGAAGCATCAGAATGATAGAATCAGTTTTCAGATCCAAATTTGAACACAATATTTCTTCGTATTACAAGCAATCGGCAAAGTTTGGCACTGTTAATAAAGCGCATGTTTGCTTAGTTCTTCATTGGGCAATGGCAATGGAAACAGCTATGCCAATGTTTGAGCATATATCACATTCATAACCGAAAATTACAAAACTGGAGTAATTATTATGTTATCTGCATGTATTATTTAGGTTTTGCGATTGGTGAACTTGCTGCGGAAAAGCTTCGGAGTACAACAGACCTTAGAAGGATTTTCAGATTACAATTTATATTGCACCGTATGTTTTTAAGTCCGCAACAGCAATAACAGAACATATTAGTTTTTGGTTTGTTTATAAAGCTTTCCAATAAATGGCACGCATCGGTACCGGTAGACCAAGGCAGATTACTACGGCCTACTTACAGGTTGGTTTGAGCTGGGTATGTAGCAGGTACCACTACCGCCGTTTAGTATACATGATATCAAATTTTGTCAGCATGTAGTCTACAGTGAAACTCAAACACTGAGATATTACGGGTCTACGGCTAATCTAATCCAGCACAGTACTGGTACAACCAGTGGTTTCAAAACTGTGGGTGGCGTGCAGAATTTCGGGGTCGCCTGACTTTCGCTGAACATGAGCACACAAGTAACAAGAATATGAAAGCTGCAAAGTGAAATTTGCGCTGGTCGGGTAGCATTTAATGCGATTAAATTAACCTTGCTCCTGATTTGGCAATCTTTTTTCACGAGTTAGACTACCTGTGAGCTAAACCAATGGTTCCCAGTAGCTGGCTTAAGCAAGTTTTTTTGTCGGTCCACGAGAAACTTTGTTGTTGTGCTATTTTCTGGGGATTTCTGTTCGCTCCTACTGTTAACGTTCAAACATATCGGTGTCGTAATTTGACTATCGAATTCCTTCCTTTGTTTACATATCACGTATTTCATTTTTGATTTATTGAGGTTTAGAACACAACAAAGTTCCAGAAAGCTAGAGAAAATATATCGATACATTTTTTCATTAAGATAATCGAATAAAATGAACTCAATTTGGAATTGTTTTAATTTTTTGGTGTGTGGGCGCGAATATCTGTATTTAATGATTTTACGAAAATTGGGGTCGCAAAACAAAAAGTTTGGGGACCACTGTTCTTGATCACCCAACCACTTGCGAATGTGGAGCAAAACTGTCACGTCCCCATGAGAAGGGGAAAGAAAAAGGTGGAACTAGCAGCAGACGTGACGCTGCGATAATACGTGTGAAAGTGGTAAATGAATTATTTGTAGAATGTCATAATTGCCCAAAATTTTATTTCAGGTTCTCGTAGCAATATCTTTATCGGTGTCTCTCATATCAGCAATTTCTGTCATTTCCATTCCTGTTGAAGTATATCTATTTGGTGCGGTGTTTGCTTGGGATAGAATTGCTGCACTCATATATTACTTCGTGGCGTCTACATATTACATCCCATTGTATCGTCGGCTACGATTGAAGACCGTGTTCGAGGTCTGGATATTTTGTATTCAAAATTTATGAATTGAATTTGCAGTATATACTTATTAATTCATTGCATTTTACATATATGATTGCCATTGTGATAGTAATCAAAACAATTGTTTGTGAAACTAAAAGTTTAGGACAAATGTTTACAACCCAACCCATTATTTCGATTTTATTTTTTCAGTATTTGGACCTGCGCTTCAATCGAAGAATTCGTTTTTTTGCCTCGGCAATTTCAATGATGGCTTTGGTAACCTATTCGTGAACTTTATCCATAAAAACAACGAATGATATAAACGCCTTCAAGGATTTTCATTGTATATACTTACTGTACAATGATAATGCGAAGAGCGATCTTAGATACTAAATAAACTGAGGGAACAATGTTAAATAGAAATAACATTGAACCACAATTCCTGTTCATGCACTCAGAAGAAGTTTGCAATTATATCCAAGGTCTTTTCTTAACAACACTAAAGTTGGAATTTCCGAAAATACATAAGAAATTTTGCCATGCTGTTTTGAATCTTTAAATTTTCTAGATATTCTACTTGGGTATAACCGTCTATCTTCCAGCCCTTGCATTGAGCGCTGTCACGATCCTTGAATTAAAATGGACGATTGCAATCACAAGCATAGTGTGTACGTTCTATACCACCATCGTACGTATATGTTGTTATTCACTCATTCTATTTTTTTTTCAAATATTATATACTATTTTTTTTATCATATAGTTCACATTTGAAATCAAAACGTCAGATTTCTATAATACAAAATATAACTGGTTTACCTAAAAGTCATCGAATGTAACAAGTTGGTAGATCGCAGTCAGCTTGGTGTTCGTAGTTCGAAGTGTATAGAAAAATATTTATAAACGGATCGAAAAATAATCCAGATGAAGAACGAGCGTTTCAGATAAGTAAAATAGCTTTTAAACATGTATCAAACAATGAGGTTTACGAAAAAGTGTTGTTCTACGTATACAGGACTGATTTTTTTTTTTTGAATTTTTTTTAGTTATCAGTCTTTTTAATAGTCTATTTAAATAGTTGAACTTTACTGTATCCAGTATATAAACGACGTTCTTTTTATTTGGTGACATCACATTTGTACCCGCGTAAATTTGCTCCCGTAAACTGCACCGAGGACATTTGAAACCTGCATACGTTTGCACCCATTGACGTTTGCACGTAGGTACATTTGCACCCACGTACATTTGCACCCAAGGACATTTGCACCCACGAACATCTGCACCCATGTACATTTGCACCCTGCACATTTGCACCCGCGGGCAGTTGCACCCGAGTACATTTGTACCCACGTACATTTGCTTCCATAGACATTTGCACCCACAGACATTTGCACCCATGTACATTTCCACTAATGGACATTTGCACCTACGTACAATGGCACCCATTCACGTTTGCACTCACGTGTATTTGTATCCATGCAAGCACGCACATCTGTACCCATGCACCCACGTACATTTGTATCCATGCACATCTTCATCTACCGACATTTGTGCCCATGGCATTGTTACGCTTATGCATTGGGACCTTTTTTCAAATATTTCAAAATAGATGCATTCTTAAATAACTTTTGGAAAAATAAATTAGTTGAGACGTTATATTCAAGTATGTAAAATACCCATGTATATATTAAGGGTGGATTGAAAGCAGTGGTGTGGACCGATCTTTTGCAGAGCCTTATTATGCTCGGAGGCGTACTTTCTCTTTTCATACGCGCTACACTTCTGTATGGCGGATTTGGAGATATATGGGATGCCGCAGAACGTGGAAATAGACTCAATTTTTTCAAGTAAGTGTAAACATCTCATTGATTATGACGCATATACATTGGGCTTGTCATAACGCACCGGCTGCCACCGAAAGCAGCACACTAAATTCAAGAGATTTGATAAAACATACGAGCGAGCATATTATGTTCATAACCGAGTTAACAAAAAGGAATTAATTTTATCACAACCTTATTTATTTAAACTCACAAATTATAAAAAAAAAAAAATGTCATTCTCATTTTTAGGCTTGATATAGATCCCAGAATTCGAAGTTCAACATGGACACATTTAATTGGTGGGGCAGTTGGGGGCTGTTATTCTGCGTGTTGCAATCAAGTTACTGTTCAAAGATATTTGTCATGTGATTCGGTTCGATCTTCTAGGATGTAAGTTTGTATGCATATACATTGCTATTTGGTAGAATTAACTTTAACATGGCCACATGTTGCAAATAATTCTGATGAAATTACTGAATGTAAAAGAGCACTAGAAAATAACTTTCAAATGAGGTATATTTCATGGTGATACTTAGATGTCGTGTCGTTTTCAAAATTTTACCTATTCGGCAAAAAAGAGAGCATTTTGAAAACCAGTGATGCCCTTAAACTATGATATTTACTTTATGATATTAATAATTTTTCATACTTGAAAAGTATATATTCAATTGCTTGTACTTTTTTATTTCATTTATCCAGAGCTGTTTGGTTACAATGGATTCCTAGCACAATCCTGTTGATACTCTGTGTAGCGAATGGGTTAGTTCTGTATGCTTATTATGAAGGTTGTGATCCAGTTCTTTCGGGTTTGGTTACAAAAAGTGACCGTACGATACCACGATTAGCATTGGAATTATTTCGAGATATGCCTGGAATGGCAGGAATGTTTGTGTCTGCTGCGTTCAGTGGGACTCTGAGGTGAGTAATCGATTTTTTGCACTAGCATATAAAAATCACGTGATTTGTTAAATTATGAATGATTATTGACGTCAGTAATTATTATAAATAAAGTACACCTGAAAATGCTCATACATTATTCACTTCAATACAAATACACTGAGGAGATCCTGTCAATTAACTACAAAGTGTGTAAAAGCCAATATATGTATACGTACCGGTAAGTTGCAAGTACGATCAACCTTAGGGCGTTTGATCTCTTTTTGTTATCCTTCTAATAGTAAATTTAGTTTATTATTTAATACATCAATATATAAATTTTACTATTAAATCTAATATTTATACAACAGCTCAGTATCGTCTGGAGTGAACTCTTTGTCAGCGTTAGCACTAGAAGATTTCGTTTTACGATTTTTTCCAACAATGCCTAAGAGAAAGAAAATGCTTTGCAGCAAATTGTTGAGTAAGTTCCATTGATATTTTTAACCAAATAGTACCACCAATACACTTAAGAAAAATTTCCTTATTCAGGTGTTCTATTCGGTGCAGTCATTATGGGAATTGCTTATCTTGTGTCCACTATATCTACTCATATATTCCAAATCAACATTGTTGTAGCGTCAATATCATCACCTATACTCGGCACTTTTACGATGGGCTTGTTCATGCCATGGATAAATAGTTGGGTATGAATGAATTATTCTGCATATATCTTCCCGAGTTATAAAATATTGAACTTAAATCCAAAAATAAAATTATCTGGAATAGATGGAATTTGTTTCCGCGATATGATTTTTACTTTGCAGGGAGCTTTATCAGGAGTTACAGGTGGCACGGCATTTAGTATCTGGATCGCTATCGCCTCATCTTATCAAGCAACATTTCCAGCGACAAGTGAGACTTTACCCATATCTACGGACAACTGCACCGTGAATTTTGCTCATAATCTCACAAGCATGTCTTCAATTGGAAACTACGCAGATTTAACCACGATTTCACAGATATCCACGATACCTGAAGAAGAACGGTAATTTTGGAATTTCTACAAGCCTTATTGATTGAATTAATAAGTTAAGATTCAGTTATAGAATGCTTTTCAACCGTTGGAGTCGCTGCGAACAAAGCAATGTTAATCCCATTCCCAATCATCATCTCCCAATTACAAATTTCTTTCTTAATCATAATGTGTATCCTACAAATGTTATATAAAGAGTGTATGAAAACGAGTGTTATTGTATGTAGTTGACCCAACGTTAAAATCTTTATTGTGATGTCCGAGACACATCCCTGCTCAGCAGCCACTCACGTTTAAAGAAAAAATATGACCATAATGACAAAAGAATCGGTTATCAGCTCGAATATAGAAAAGTCATTATATAAAATAAAATTCATTGATTCGTTTGTTTTATTTCAGATCTGTTCTCGGTGACACCTTATATTCTCTGTCGCCATTTTTATATGGAACATGTGGATTTCTAGTATCAATATTTTTGGGGCATGTTGCGTCATTTTTAACAGGTTAATGAATATTTTTCGATGTCGCTCGATCGTAAAGTTTGCTTGGGTTTTCTATAAAAATTATCACTTTGGGTATAAAATGAATTGAAATACCAAGTGATCCGAGTCACTTCTGTATTACCAGATCAGATACCGCAGTCTACCATTCCCGGTAAAAATAAACTTCCCACTTGTACTAAGCACGAGATCCACCGACTTTCGCTTAGCACGAGATCCGCCGATATGCGCTCGTGGAACCGCTACAAGATAAGCAAATTTTGAAGACGTCATAGCACACAAAAAACAAATCCCATAAATCTCACAGAAATATTGGAATTAAATAAAAGTAATAATAGCCTTCTAGCGAAAAATACAATCTTCAACCACTGAAAATTTCAAAGCAATTGGTCCAGTGATAAAAAGAGCGATTTTTTCATAACGTTAAAATTTCATAATAAAGAACAAGAACAGGCCTATTCTATGCCCAATAAAACTTGGTTTTGAATTTCTGGCGCAAGAGATTTAAATTGTTGAAAGCGCCATAAGTACTTTCATACTGCACACACACTAAAAATTTAATGTCCGTTCTTTTTCTATACTGGCTCTGACTCAATAGTAAAAACACGACTGAGCACGGAATTAATTAACTGATAACGTTTCCTGTAGTAAGCAATTTTTGTGCTTATTATGTTTCTACTTATTTGTAGAATGTTAATTTTTAATTTAAATTAATTGTATTTTTAATATTATTTTTATCTTCGTTTCTTGATTAGGATTCAACAAAATTTCAGAGGCTAATCCAGACTTATTTGTACCATTTATAAACTGTAAACTGTTTCGTTTTGGCATTCCTAAAACTACACTAGTAGACCGGGGAGACGAGGAAGAAACAAAGACCGTGCAGCACATCAATGCCGGCTATCTCAACAATGAAAATGATCACGAAGTCTCAAACTCTAACGAAGCCAAATGTGAAGAAACAATTTTTTAACCAGGCATCCCACGATGTTGAGTGATTTTGTACAAACCATACCATTATTTTATTTTGTCATATTGATTGACAGTTACATATATTGCAAATATAAGTATTGAAGTAAGTACTTGCGAACACTTCAGGATTCAATGTTGGATTTTTATTATAAACGACGAAACATCCAATTTATATATATATGTAGTAACTTTCTTCTTTTCTGATTTAAATAAATTGATTAGCTTTGAGTCCTTCGACCACTAATTTTAAATTTCCCACCGTAATTCTATATAACTGGTAACTACCGATTTCAATTCATTGTACACGGAGCTCAAGTTCAATTGTGCAAAATACATTTGATTCACAATAACTAAGATGTGCTCGCTTGTGTGGTAAAGAAAGTAGGTAGTGAAAAGATCAGAAAAAGAAAAAAAAATCACGAATGAACAATAAAACGCAAATTAAAACATTATTTTTGAAGCTAATGTATTTGAAAAATGTCAAGGGTCCACTGTTATTACGCATATGCATGTAACCCATCTGTAGCCAGAAAAAAAAGAGTTTTATTTAAAATGGTATCCCGTCCTCAACCTAATGAAACGCCCATGTATACTCTACAAGTAAACTGTATTTTGTACAAGATCATCAGTGCATGTGTGTAATTGCATTCAAACCTATGCATAATATGGAGTAGATCTCACTCGTTCTGATTGATCCGATTGTATGCATAATAATGATGATGCTACTCTAATAATGACTGTAGATACAGAGGAATATTTATTGATCGCTATCATTCTAATCGACACATTACATCGAATAAACCCAGGGATAATAAATTACTTGAAGCAATTAAATAAATTTATTCTGTGCAAACTCTTTCTAATTTGCTGAACGATCTATTAGACTTTTGTAATCAAAAAGAACAGATTGGTGGTGTATCGTGATGATGTCATATAATGATTTAATGTGATAATATGGTTCAGCCTGAGCTCAAATTATATAAATATATATCGTTTTCCTTACTCTGGGTATATCATAGACACAGTAACGTTTTGATTTGATTTTTTTGCTTATGGCAATCGATGAAAAGCTAAGAAAGTATGTGAATGCTTGTCAAAAAGACGAATTGCGCGTTTAGGAATGCTATAAAAATTGTTTAGCTCTATGTAAATTTTCCCATACAGAATGATTTGTTATTGCTAAACACCTATTGTTTTATAGAATTATATTCGGTCATCTTTTTTCCCCGTCTCATTATGTTCAGTCCACTGCAAATGATCAGAATTTCAAGTGGTTTGAGATAACAGGCCAACATCAAATATCTAAATATTCTCACAATACGAACTAGTGTCATCAATTCCTAAATAAAAAGAGAGCTATGCTCAGAACCAAAATGAAGTAGCATCAAATATTTTATCTACAGTACCGGTAGTCTGACCGTAAATATAGAGGACTTGCACGAGTCACGTGACTTTGTTTACTGGACGGCAAAAATACAAAAACGTCCATTTCTATCAAATATTTTACAGTGTTATGGTTCTAGTGAAAATGGGTATAGGCGGCTTCTTTTAAAGTGTGGTAGGTCTAGTCGAAAGACACATTAAATGTTTATGCTAACAACGGCAAAGTGATATTGCAAGTTGCAACGCATACAGCTAACAGAATTTGTTGAAATGGTGCTGCCTTTCCTAAAAAATCCTAAAAATGACGAAAATCCTAATATTGATGGGACATAAGCAGCTGATAATGGGTTATCTTTCCTTTTTCCTGAAAAAAAAATCAAACAATAATCATCATTTGACAGTGCCAGGTTTGTGTATCAGATCAGTAATAGATTAGCTGCTAACTAACAAAACAATCAGACAATTGAATTCAGGTTATTTTTTGCATGAGCACTGGGGTTAAACTTTAGTTATCTATTCAACTTTTCACACTTACTAATAGATTACCTGCTAACTAGGGAAACAATATCTTATGGCAATTGATGATTGATTCCTTACACAAGTCAAGTCTGCAAGTAGGCTTACGCCCAGGCCTACCAATAACAGTAGTTTGTCATCTGCTTTCCATTGAAATGAGGAAGCTCATGGATATTTAAAGAAATTGATAACGACACTCGGCACATTATCACTCACCATCAACGAAGTGCTGTCAGCAAACAGTGAAACACAAGCGAGATGACTTTTTGACTTGACACCAAGCAGTCCTGCCAATAAATGATATCCACATTGCGCGACGTTCCGGATCTTTTGAAAACAGTGGAATACAACTAAAGATCCATTTCGTTGTTTATACCAGTGGTCGGCAACCACCGGGCCGCGGCCCATTGCCGGTCCGCCGAAAGTTTACTACTGGTCCGCAGTGAGGTGACACAAAACGGACTAGGCCTTAATAACACCTCTAAAATCACTAATCCTACGACTAAAAAACATCACCCAACATCAAAGCAGACAATCACAACGCCTTAGTTATTGCTAAACAAACATAAGGCAATACCCAGATATAGATACAGAAGCGGTATAAGCATTGTTACTTTCACAACATCGTTTTTTTAGGCCAGGTTTTCAATATTGACAACTACAAAAACGAAATATCGAAAAAGGCTGAATGTAAGAAACGCGTTACGTGTATCACTGTCGACCATGTCTCTAAATTGGAAACTGTTAATGGCTAACAAACAAATAGAGATCTCGCATAGCATCACCTTTTTGAATAAATTTTCAAACGCGTGTACCTAATTACATAGGCTTAGTCCGGTTCCATTACATTTGAACTCACGTACATTTGAACCCATGACAATTGCACCTGTATGCTATTGCACCTATGGAATTTTTTTTGTTTCACGGATAGTTAAACCCATACTAACCCTAACCCATGGGTTTTAGCACCCGCATATAGGTTGAACCCGTGGATATACGCATGGGTTCAAATGTACGGTCACCGCTTAGTCCATTTGTATGAAGGTGGTCCGCCAAAATTTCGATCAGGATATACCGGTCCGTCACTTAAAAAAGGTTGCCGACCACTGGTTTATACTATACGTACAGCCAACGGAACAATACGAAATAACCATTTTCAACAGCCAAACAAAACGGAAACGTATAATCCAACTCGCAACTGACAGGAGCCAAATGGACGTTTTTGTTTTTTTGTCACAAAGTCACGTGACTCGTGCAAGTCCTCTATATCAGTGGTTCTTTAACTTTTTTAGTCCCAGAGCCGCATTTCAAACCTCAAAGTTATGAAGAGCCGCACACAAACAACGCAAGGTAAAATAGCAATAAACATTAAGCGCGTATTTAAAATACCAAGTCGTCGTAACAACAACACACGTAACAACTAGGGCTGGGCAAAATATTCGAATAATAAAATATTCGAATGACCTTTTACTATTCGAATATTCGGTTCCACGTGACCTGCACCGCTCTGCTTGGACACCTAACTCGCGCTTCTCCAACTCAATCGTGAATTGTGCGAGATTTCCCAATGGCGTTCACTATCAGAAAAAAAAGACAAATTTGAAAAGTCGTTCGTTGTCTTTGCGGTATGGTGTTATATACTTATCTTTGCACTTAACGTATCGTTTCAATTTCATATTTTGCAAAAAAAAGTACCGACGATTCCGTAAATTTAGAAACGTCAAACCAAATAAGTTATTTGAAATAAATTTCCCTGATTTTAAACTCCGCGTGCTTGGTGACATGTCATTAGCCATTTCTTGCATTACCGAACATAAAGTTGATAAAAATTAAATGTTAAAATGACTTTTCGGCGTTTCATTGTGAAAAAAGCGATTTTAGGTCGTTAGAAAACTCGTTAGTTATATAAATAGCATGGTTTTATAAAAATGACTAAAAGTTTTTCCAAAAGCTGGTATGAGTTATATGTATGAAAAACACTCATTAAGTTGTAACCAGATAAGAAATGTCATGTCCTACTCCCTAAACACTTTATTATTAGCTCTTTAGTGATCCCTTCCATCCTTGGCCAAGTAATGTTTCGAATATGTAAACATTTTACTCGACCATGCATGGCCGTTAAGCCAAGAGTAGAACGTAAAATCAATTGTGAATTTCGTTGTAACAATGCATACTGATTCGTTTACGAATTGTTGCGTCTATCATCATCGAAAATGATTACAATTGTTAAAGTTTGAAGCATTCAGGCATAATAATTAAGCCTTATACGGCATGACATAATCATAATTATTAAAAAAAGAATATTGAGCATTACTCAGTAAGTATTTCAGCTAAAATAACCATCGGGGTATTATTTTGTGGAGTATCGAGTATATTGTAGAGTATTTTTTTTTTTTTCAATAAATGGAGTATTGACTTTCGACGTTTTGGATCCCTGTTATGTATAAAAATATTCATTATTCGACTATTCGGTATTCGTTAACAATTTTCAAATTATTCGATTCGAAAAAAGATTCGATTTTGCCCACCCTAGACTAACAGCCATTTAATTTGACTTTGATTTCTAATAAGTTTGTCAAAGCGGGTCGTAATCGTGGAGAATGCAAGGTGCAGTAGCTTGTAGATGATCACCAGATATTTCGGGACTATTTTCGATTGCTGGAACAAAATCAAAATGCTCTAAAAATTAAAATATATAATCATTGAGTTATTTGATTTATTTTATAGGCTACATAATATTCGGAAATGCGACAAAAACTGAAAATCCACGAAAGCGAGGCAATGATTACAGCCATGTCTAAAATCTCTGCAAGTGAAAAGTGTCCGAGTGGCCGCGAAAACGCTTACTGTTGCGTCAATATTGCATCTTGTAGATTAGTCAACGCTACGCTAATAAACACGGGGGAATTTATTCGACTTACAAATAGATTTTCGAGTTTTAATTTCAGGTCAATGATTAGTTTTCAATGAAAAATTTTCTTTGAAAGTAATTTATTTTTAAAGCATCAACAAGAGCCGCAGGAAAGGTTGTTGAGAGCCGCATGCGAGATTTGACATAAATACAAGTAATAACCAGCGAAAAATACAATCTTCAATCACTCCGTGTGTCATAATACATAAACAATCTATAGGTACATTTTGAGTGCAATAACAAAGCGACCAATACGCCCATTTCGTGTCCAATGAAGCGGCCGGGGGTCAGTGCAGGTTGGCGAACAAAGTAGCTGGAAAGAAAACAGGGGCGACAAAAAAGTAGGTAAAACGGCGATAAGGGAGTGGTTGAACCAAAAAGATAGAACGATAAATAAAACTGCGCGGATGATATGTAAGCCAATATAAATAGGGCTGGCGAACGATGTTGAAAACAAATCACATGGCGCCGTGGCACCAGAAACAAAGATCGGCGCAAAAACTTCACACAACTAACATAAAAAATTATTAGTCACAGCCTGGCAATTTCAAAATCCTGTGTATCTATGCGACGTAGTAACGATAAACACGTACGACGAAAAAATAGGATGTAAATCCCTGCCGGATGAAAAATTGGTTATGAGTGTGTGACATGGAATGCAAGGAAGCGCTGATCCTAAATATTGTGTTGCTCCTTATTAACACACCAATATGCATTTTGTGCGATATATATATATATATATTCATCCCCACGAGAGTGCCTCTAGCACATTTTTGTGAACAGGTAAGATCTTAAACAATTTGTAAGTTATAAGATGCACGACTTACGATGGCGGAACCGAGTCCGGATTCCATTACAGAATTGATTCTGATGCATTGGAATCGATTCTCGAGGTTATAACGTGGATTGCAAACAATGTTTATGTTTTGTGGCAATTCCTTCACATATACCGAATACCGGTATGTATAAACTGCTTTACTGCTACGACTGGAGTTGCTATATATCATATACGCTCAGCTAGAAGGCTTTTACGTTTGTTTATTTCTAAAATCTCTGTGGGTTCCGAGGGATTTTGGCTCCTGTGACAGATTGGATATCAATACTACTTAGTTTTGGCCTTCTTGTCCGTCCATATATTTGAACATCGCTCTCTTGTTTTTTCGGTAGGATATATCGAGGAATCGAATACTTGTAAGTAGTCATACTTAGCATTCTTAATTACGACCAGATGTAAAGAATTTTGTCTCAATTCAGTAATGGATGCATTCGACTTATATAAAGATTCATGGACTGACCGAAACATACCACAAATATTCTCAAAAAATCTCTACAACCTAGATTTTAGCAACACAGATGTAAAAAAAGACAGACATCTACTTTGAAGATATCGTTATATTACAAAAGTAGGAAGAACTAACATATACTGGCAGTGATTTTAAACAATTGTAAGCAAGACTAACTGCATACTCTTCGAAAAACGCTATCAATCTTAAACTGTTCAATTTTTTTAACAATCATCTTAAATATATACAAAACATATCATCTATCAACAAGTGAGAACAAGCTTAGGTTTTTAAGGTGAAAAATGGTATTCAAAGCAATCGGGCAGTTTTTTCTTCTATGTATGTTAAAGTATCAGCTGGAAAAAACAAGGCGATTTCTTTTAACAAAATAATAAAGTAACTAAATTGTAGTCTGAAATCCTTGGGGTATCTATAAGAAAAAAAAGTGGTATAAGAATGGGATTTTGATGCAACTCATTGCAAAAGTGATGCATATTTTGCAGACTCAATTATTGAAACAATGAGTTGTTTCGGTTACAGAAAATATACTCTGTCATTGTCAGTATGTATGACTAAAGCAAATATATCATTGTCTGCCATCCTCGAGTATGATATCAGAGCTGATAAAGTTGCGTGAACATGAAGTATTTAATACAGAACATACAGCTTCTGCTTAAACAAATTTGAAAAAAACTGAAAGTAGTACTGAAACCCAACTATAAATATAGATTATATTTAAATCATAAATTCCTCGTCGTTCATGAAAAGATCAGGATGACCAGGTTCCTCAAGTACAAGAATCCCTCCAGCAGCCTCAGCATCCACATCTTCACCTTCATCCTCTTCCTCTTGACTTAGTTTATTACAAGATTCTCCATCTTTTGAGGATTCTACATTCTTAGATTTCACTTTTGATAAAATTTTATCAAAACCTTCAAGTTCCTATCAAACGAACAAATTGAAAAAATAATACATGAAAATGAAATAATATCTTTTTAATCTATAGGGAAAGAGTGAAGCATATAATTTTGTAACAAAAAATGGAAATTATAAAACAAAAATTAGAAAATTTCTGAATCATACACTCGACTAAGTAAATATAGGATAGATCAGTGGTTACCAACCTCCTATATCTCATGCCCCCCCTATTTATCATTATAGTGGTATTTATAATGTTACTTTGAATGGTAGATTCCAAATCCCATTATGTTCAAACAATTATTCATGCTGAATAAAAGGTAAAAACAATAACATTGCTTGAAATAATCAAGCAATGAAACTAGGAAGAATGGACGGTTTTGTAGTGAAATGAAAAGTAAAATCAGTTTTGCACTCGGCATAGTGGCACCCTTGGTGGGCCAAGGGCCCTCGGTTAGGAACCACTGAGAAAGATCATTGTTCACACTACTCCCATTTACCTCGCATAACGTATTTATACAATCTTCAGCTGCTGTTGGATTTTTTCCATCTGAAGTAAGAAAAGGTAAACTATTAGTATTACATCATTGTCAAAAATTTCCCTTTATTATAATAGAATACCCAGTCTAATTGTTAAAAGCTAATTTTAAAGTGATAAACTATTGCACAAGTTTCCCGTTCAAATGAGTTTTTTGCTGTTACGAAAATCGTATAAATAGCAGTGAAAACACAAAAACAATTTCCTACTAATTACAGTTATATCAATCAGTGAAAAATATAATTTCAAGAATTTTTCTTACTAATTGACAAAGTGTACAAAAGATGAGCAAATATTAGCAAAGTATGGTCATTTTGTTCCGTAGAATCAGATTCTTCTTTAGCTAATATAGGAATGGTGCTTTGACAAATGTACGCAGTCTCTCCATACGTTGCACATACAACAGGAAGTATAGACGCAGAAAATGATGGAAGGTCTGATATGAGATCTCTGGCCAAAAAGTTTTGATTCGACCTATAATAAAAAATTTTGGAACAGTGAAATATACAGACCATGACAGAAATGGGGTTACTACCAATTAGATCAGGGGTGTGCAACCTTGTGCAACAGGGCCGCATACAAATACCTGGGTGAAACCGCGGGCTGCACCGTTATTTAACATTGATCTCATAACATGCATTCATTTATTGATCTCATAACATGCATTGTTCGCTTCTCACAAGCTATCTGTTAAGATATTGTAACGTCACAGGCATGGATGATAAATTGGACTCAGGTATAATAGGCTTTACAACGCAAAGGGATTGGAATTTCTGGCACATACCAGATTAAATTAAATTAAAAACGCTATCACGGCCGCACACTATTTAAAATTGGCGTTTTTCCGCGGGCCGCACAATTTTTCCTTATGGGCTGCATTTGGCCTACTGGCAGCAAGTTGCAACTTGCAACCCCTGAATTCACTGAAACGATGAAAATTGCGATAAATCTGGAATTGCATTTTCATTGTCCTTTAATACCATCATAAATTAAAAATTTTATTATAAACCTTTTAATGAAAATAACAGTCAACATGAAAACAGTAAAAGGAAGCCAGGCAATTACAAAATCTGAAAACGTAAAAGAAAATAATAATGTTGTAATCTTGGTAACCAAATTGACTTGGTAGTATAAATCAGTAAATTTTTGACTTGTGTTGTTTTCTGTCATATTCAGAACAGTCTGTCAAATCACATAATAAAATCAAACAAACAATTTTGGTACAAGCATGAAGTAAAATACTGATGCTCCAGGTACCAATCCGGAGGTAACTAATTTTGTTCGCGTACTTCACATCAAGTTGTGTGAAGAGACTGATTACTATGGGCAGGGGGTGTATTCATTTGACCAACACAGACAGTCCCCCAAACTCGTAATAGACCAAATATAACGAAAATCGGAATAAAATCAAGGCCTAACCCTAACCTGGTACACATTACAGGAGTACCAAAAATCATGTGAGATGCGTGGTGGTTAACAGCAGAGAAAGAATTAAATTTTATCAAATAGGATGCTTGTGCAGTTATCAACCCAAATTCAAGCAACAGATTACCATGAAACAACAATTACATCTTTCTTGTGAATTAAATATCTATTTATGGGCAGTCATTTTTATGGTTACGTCTTATGTTAAGTCATAAATTTAAGTAACTTAATTAAAGCACAATATACCTTAGTTGATGAAAGAGATCCACCATTATTGCTGAAATAATTTTTTTCATCAAAACATCATACCAGATATCATTAGGATGAATAAAATGTACAAGATTCTGCTGCCGAACCATAGTTCTTAATGATTGTTTCACTTTTTGTCGAAATACCTTGATAAAAACAATATTTGTTGGGAATATTAGCTTATCATTTACTAGGAATTCTGAAATGTTTTCAATTTCACTACTGTTATTTATATTTTCATTATATTTCCTTTTTGCCTCTATGTATTTTGATACGTAGTGATGTTGACAAATTAGTCAGAATAAAATATCAAAAAACATACCTGCGTAAAACTATCAGGATTCTGCCTAGCATGTTGTAATAAAGCTGTCAAAATCCTGTCAAATATATCAACTATCTTTATGTTGCGTTTGTCGTCATCATCAACTGAAAGAAATGAGAATCATAAAGCCTTGACTGCTGGATAGATATATTTACAATGAACATTCATTTGGACAATTTTCCTCCCTGTTATCCATTAAGCGAAGTCAAAGCCTTGCATGTTTTTAATGGTATTGAAGCCAAAGTCATACTAATTTAATAGTGCTGACAATGTTGCTGCTCAAGGTCAAGTTCAATCAACCCGTGCACAGACGCAAACAAGGTTAAAATGATTTCAAATTGAACTGAATTAACCACAACATCAGTCAAATCACTCAAATCACTCAAACACAGTGGTTTCCAACCTTTTTTGTGGAGCGGAACCATCACAACAAACATATATAAAAGTGAACCTAAAACTGACAGAAAAATTATCTTCAAAGTGTAACAAGATTGATAATATGGTATTTGATTATATTTAATCAATTAACATGCATTAATAAAGCTTGTTGGTTATGAATGTAGGCTTGTGCAACCCCAAACTGTACTGGAAAAACCCCAGGGTGCCGCGGAACCCCGATTGAAAACCACTGCTCTACTCTCATCTCGCTTGAATAAATCAAACTGCATCTCCACATAAATAGCCGATTAGCCACTTAAACAGAATAAAGTAAGGTACAACGCATACAAATTCAATATACCTAGAGTTTGTTCTTTTCCATCAATATTTTTTCTTTCAATTTCTTTTTGTAAAATTTTGTGTTCGTCGAGTTGTAACAATATTCTCAATAATTGTTCGATATATTCAATCAAACTCGCACCTAGTTTAAAGGAGTAGTAAACATAATAGCAAAGTTGTATACCAACAGATTTTTCTTTCAATCCTGAACACTACTATACAAAAAATATAATACAATTTCAGTAATTTTTTTTATTTCAGATATTTCAAATCGATTCACTCAGAAATACAAATCTATTTTCCCACAATTAATTCCATTACAACTTTCTTCGAAAGATCCTCCATCTTTCATCAGTAAGTTATTTTAAAGTTTATTTCGCATTGCATTTATAATACTTATAAGGGAAGTGTGTACACCAATATGAAGGTAAATAATTTCGTTCCTACTTTACATCAAGTTGTGTAAAGGGACTTAATCCTATGGACAGGGGGTATATTCACTTGGATAACACAGACAGTCCCCGAACTTGTAATAGAACAAAAATAAGGAAAATCAGAAGAGAATTATGGCCTGACCCTAAACTGGTACACACTCTACGGGAGTACCAATGGCCAATTTAATATAGACAAATATTAACATGTAAAAAAATGTATAAACAATACTGGGAAAGTCAAATTATGACTTCGGCTTCGACCAAGCTTGCTTTGATTCCGATTTTAGACTTTTCTTCAAAAAATAATTTGAAAAAATAATACCAAATTTTCTCTCACCAGATGAGCAAAACTGTAATACAACGTCTTCTACTTCTTCAAAAACTTCAATTCCGCAAGATAGAAAGTCGAGGAATATTTGCAAAGTAGAATTAAATAATTGACGATATAACGACAACCGAGATATAAATGCTGACGAACTTGTTTGATTCGATAAAATAGAATTATTCAGATCAGATTTCTGTGTCTGAAATACAAATTGATAAATCACTTGCAGAAATTATGCAATAAAAAAAGAAATTTGAACAGCACTATTCGCTGTACAACAACTTTATATGGGAGTAAAATTCTGACAAACTGTATATGTTGGACCATGTTGTTTCGCTAAGAAAAGTGAATTTATCTACAATGCAATTCCATTAATATTTGTACACATTTTTATACAAAACATCATACTGATGATTCAGGATATGCTAATTCTTTTTCCTTAAACCAATTTTGGTTAAAGACTTTGTCTCATCTCTTGGCTCTTAAGGGAATTTTGACTTTAAGAAAACCAAATTTTGACCATAAAAATTCTGGCATGTGCAAGCCATCTTAAAAGTCCGAAATTTTGACTCAACTCTTGAGGAACTCGAAATATTTTCTATTCAACTAAGACTACGGGCTTCGGGAAGTTTAAAAATAATTCCATAATCTGAATTTGTGCTTGTCTATATTATTAGTAATAAGAACAAAAATATCAATTTCAGAAGGAATTTCCCAAATGTCTTCAAACCTTAGTAGTGGATTCATATTTCTTTATAACAACACCAAACCATTTAATAATATATTTGAAATCATCAATTGGAACATCATTGTTTAAATGATCATCATCAGCCTCTGTAGAATCAGCATCTAAAGATACACAAAACATTATTAAATACAAAAACTGTAGCTACATCCGTAATAATACTACAGTGAAGCCCTTCATGGGAAATCCTTTAAGACTGTTTCAAAGGTTTTCATTCCAGTGTCCCGGTACAGGGCTACTCAACTGGCAGATCGCAGTTCAATTCCGTATCTTTTGAGTATTCGATTCGGACCGCACCTACTTCTTTATTTTTTGTTTCCTTTTATTAAATAACTTTTATTTATAGTTCTAGAGATTATTTCATGTATTCAAATTCTCATATTTGCACCAAACTATATACGAAAAGAACTGTGATCCTATAACAAACAATGCGATATTGCCGTCTTGATTAGAAAATTAATAACTAGTCAGGAAACTGCAATAATCTTCAAGGATGTCTTATATTTTGCGGTTGCTTAGTTTAACATGAAGTTCCGTTAACTCTCTAAGCTGAAAGTTATAGGCACTATTAAGGCATACTGTGAATATATTTTCTAAAGAAACTGTTCCCAAAAATTTTAAGATAGGTAAAAATAGTTGAGTATCCCTGTCCTAGTAGCTAAAACATTAGCCCAGACTACTATGGCATTAAAAGTTAAAATCCCGGGTTCAAATACCAAACCAACCACTTCACTCAGGGTGCAATAGAGTAAGTAGCTCATTAATTAGCAGCGGTTGCTTGTTTGGGGCCTTGGTTGGAGAAGAAGGCATAAAAATACATTGTATAATTGTCGCAACTACAGACCTGAATAGGTAGGTACGTATGTAATTTATCGATGAAAAAGTTGCACAAAATACCTTTTCGTTTATTTTTTTGATGCAAATATATAATTGACAATACACTACATCTTCTGACAATTCCTTCCACCAACAAATTATCCACCCAAATTTCGGAATCGTCAGTTTTTGACGATGAAGACAAGCGACTCAATGTTTCCACCTGGTTAAGAGCAAAATATAAAACATAGTAAATTATATTTGATGTTGCTGCAAGGGTGCGTGAATCCCAGCAAATGCAATTTCTAATACCATCATGTATAGGACATCATGGAAAGGATGCACCCTGGCTTTGGCTCGTTGGCTGTATACATGTCAAAGAGAGAGCACGCATCACTGGCGAAACTGACAAACAGAGAAAAAAAGTAACACAATTTTTCCGCTCCCGTCTTGTTGGGTGGTTCTATAGAAAACCCCACATTTTTGTGATAAAAATTGGCCTCGGCTTGATAGGCAAAAAGTACGGTAATTGAATAAACTGCAAAGGATTAGGACTTTATGTTCATGATTTTCTGTCGTGTTTAATGTCATATTTAATATCTTGAGTATCCATTTGAAAGTTTATTCGATATTATCAACTCTTGATTTTGAGAATAATTTCATTTGAAAATTATTGTTTTAAGCAACTGAAGCCTTACAGTCTGATTAAAGAGACCTTCATTTGAATTTTGTGAAACAATTGAATCACAGTTCAACTTAATTTTTCCTACATTTACAAATACAAAATCATTCATTATACACCAGCGATCTGCAACCTCGGGCTCTTTATTCTCGGTGCTCTGGCTGCCATGTAGATGTTGCGGCTCTTGAGTAGGTGTGAGTTTTATGGAAAGGATGCCGTTAAAGGTTGCCGAGCCGTGTTATACACTATACTGTATGTGTTCTTGTTAAACATGACTCTAATTAGAGTAACATCGACAATCCATATCAGAAAATATAATTTCAGAATGTAGTTGGAATAATAAGTTACACCATGGAGCCAATTTAAGATACATTATAAAGAACAACAAATAACTATAAAAAAATATTTTCAATATTATTACCTGGCATTTTTCAAGAATCTTTGCAATTGTCAACAACAATTGTACACATTGTGGAATCTCCAGAGCTGAATAAGAACAACTCATTTGAATTTCCATGAAAACTTTAAGATATTTAAGTGCTTGGTCCGGCCTGTGTTGTGGCTTAACTGTAAAAGAAACGGTCTTCTTTTTTCTTTTAGAACCGTCATTTTTCTCATCAGATTGGGAATCATTCTCTTGAACAGATGATTTTGACAAACGAGCAGAACGCCTGGTATTCGTTGATCTGGAGTCATTCGTCTGTAGTATAAAATAAAATAATATAAGCAAAATTTGAAAAAAATTGGTGCTTTGAGCTCATGGTACAACTCATTTTCTACACCAGTGATTGACATATGGGCCCCCTTTTTCATCATTCCAGTGGTATTAATAGGGTGTGAAATCCCTTATCAAGTAATAGTACCAAGATAAACGGGGAGTTTCCTTGTAGAGTGGAAAGTAAAATCAGTTTTGCACCTAGCATTGTGGCCCCCTTGGGAACCACTGCCGTACATGGTATATTTTCTTTACAATAAGTTGTGTCCCACTTTCACTCTAAACAAGTCTCTAAAGAAGCATCCACTGAAATGCAAATGCGAGAATATTGCTTTCGTAACATATGGACTTAGTAACAAATCTAATAAATTTGCATAAGCAACAGAATATAGCGAAGCCAACACTTTCATTAAATTTGATTAAAACTAGTTGAAATCAAAACTATCTAAAACCGATTTGAAAAAAATAATCAAAATGAAAATTGAGTTTTAAAAGACTGAAATTTCGCAATAGGGATCAATGGGGGTCGCGGTACCCACTATTGTGGGTATACAAGCTATACTTACTCTTCTTCCTTTTGCTTCCACTTATCTGTGTGAAAAATCTTTTTATGACACTAACTTATGTTAAAATAGGTAGGTACCTATATGTAAATATTTATCACTAACTATACAATTGATAATGGTTGGCATTGTATTTCTAACTTATCTCATTTGGCTATTACGATCGCCAATTCGAACAGACACACACCTCTCCTGAAGATTGGTTATCAAGCGATGACTCATCCAATGTCCCTTCTAAAGATTCTGTCAACCATTCTTGTATTAATCCAAGCAATTGTTTGATCCATCCCCAGGAACACAAACATTTTATTAACATGGTGTAATATGATGGAGGAGCATCATCAGGTAAGGAACGTAATTTGGGGAGTACACTTTTGCTGTAATAATAAAATTTCGTACGATAGAAAATAAATTATACGAAAAAAGCGCTAGTTGACAAATATCGATTGATTAATACTTTTTCATCATACAAAATTTTTAGCAAGCTATATTTGTATGCCTCAAAAATATTATATATGGTACTTGTAAAGTCTTTACTTTTAAATGACAAAGGGAATTTATCGATAGCCTATATATCAGTGGTTCCACAAAGGGGGCAAATAGGCAATTTTTTGAGGGGACGTGGAGCTAATTAAAACTGAAAAAATTTGTTGGATTTGATGTTGCCCACCTTATTTTGAATATTTACACTTCTTTATTATGTACACCAGGCCTGCACAACTCAAATAACCACGGGGGCCGCAAGCAGAAATATGGAGCCACGGCGGGCCGCAAACTTTGCCACATGCGTATTTCTCAAGATGAACTACAAATCAAAATAATATTGTGAAACAGTTAAATTTAATGAAACACTTTCATTACTGAGGAGCTTAAAAATTTGAAGAATCTTATTTTCTTGAGTAAAAACAAGTTACAGTATTTTTGCATATGAGATGGCAAATATGTATTTAGTGGTTCATCTACCTTGAAAACCCACCCTTCATTATCAATATTTCTTTTTTATTAGAATTAGGTATTGCGTGTTGCAGTATAAACTGACTGCAGAAAAATATTTTACTCAGGTTCAGTTTTGTAAAATCGTCCCAAATATATGTATGACATTTTATTTAGTCATATCTACCATTATTTGATATTTCCATTGTAGGCTAGACAAACAATACGTTTAGTAGCAATAGATCTTCCTCTGTTGTACTTTTTTGACTGTTAAACTACATTTTTCTACAAAATCTGCTACAATTTATTTGAAATTTTACAATAAATAGCAAAATTATTTGTGTAAGAATTTCTGCACCATTCATAAATAAATGAATTGTTTTTTAAGTTCTAAATTTGAATCAAAATAGAAACTTCGGCTTCATAAACTGCTAATAAAAAATAATGGGATATTGATAGGTTGCTAATATGCACTAATGGGTGTGAGATATTGTTTCAAGCTTGATTCAGTCTGAACACTGAGATATCTAAATCAGGGTTTCCCAAACTGGGGGGGGCGAGCGACGAATTTTAGGGGTCGCAAAGGGCACACCAGTTTCACACAAAGTTAGATATTTATTGAAACTAGTGCAAAATATAAATACTGCATCACGATTTCGAATATGATCGGGTAGCGGCGCGTTTGCATAACAATGCCGGCTTTGATTGTTGGACCCGAGAAGTGGCGGGTTCCAAATCACCCGCGGGCCGCACAGAAGTATCTAGCGGGCCGCATGCGGCCCGCGAGCCGTATGTTGTGCAGGCCTTATGTACACATATTTTTTCAACATGTGTTTTAAATAAAACATACTTTCGCCTTACTATCTACTATTTTTCATTTGTAGTTTATTGTTAGGTAGTTATTTTGAAGTGGGGCGCAAGACTTGACAAATTCTAAAAAGGGGGCACGGCTTAGAAAAGTTAGAGAACCACTAATATATACAGTTTGTTGGCTTCTTTAAGTTCTTCTTCAAGTCTTTTAAATGAAGTGAAAAAAAAGAAATATACATTTGTCAAAATAAAAACAACTGGATGAGAAGACCGACTCCATAACAAAATTGAAATTGTAACAGGACTTTATGAACATTATAAATTTTCAATCTTACCTAAACACGGGTAAACTACCAGGCGGTAAATACGAAGTCAGTAACAGAATGGCATTAAGCGTCCTTTCATCATTTGAAACTTTAAAACAAACGTGTAGAACTCTGGAATATGTCACCATAATTTTTTTCATCATTTCCCGCATCTTTGTAGATGATTTAGAAGTAGATGTTCTGTGGTCCAATGACTTCCACAGGATGCAAGACGTATCAAGAAGTGCAGCTAACACATCATCTTCAATTACAGTAGTGTTGCACTAAAAGTTCAGTTTTTTTTAAGAAATTAGAGTTGAGTGAGTTAGAATTAAAAGTTGAGTTTTTCGAATGAAATTAGAGTCGGAGATGTATTTCCAAATGACCGTTTCATATTACCTCTGATTTAAAAACCGAAAGATTGGATAACTCACTTTTTTTTCAAATCTTTTAGCATATTTACTATTTTACACGTGAGATGGGGGCTGTCAGAGGGAAGTTCTTTTAATAATATCACTGTTAAATGAGCAGGATAGAATGGTGTGTTTTTGTTAGAATTTATATAAAATTTGCCTCAAATAAGACTACAACCGATGAAATCATGAATAATAAAATCGTGATTTGTAACAATTTTCGGTCATACTTGTTATTTCACATTCTTGTTTTGCTTCATGAATTAATGGCAGTGAGAAATTAAAAACTGAATAAAAAAATCCTAATATACTAAAAATAATTGAAAATGGGGCATCATGGATCAAAATTCTGATCGTGGGGTTCCAGATGTCAAAGTTTTTAAGTGATGAAATTTCAAGTCAGAAGTTTGAACTAGAGTCTGGGGTTAGAGTTGGATGTGAATTTGGGAAACTTGATTTTTTTTTTTAATTATTTCTATGGTTAGTAACCAACCGGAGTAGTGGATGTACTGTTCTGGGAATCATTTGAGTTTGTTGTAGAAGAAGTATCCATCACGGATGAATTTTCTTGTTGTAATGTCGCTGATACACAATTGTATACAAATGTACCAATCATGTTTAAAAAATCACCTGAGAATACAATTCATGAATAAGTTTTTATACTATGTATGATGAAAAAGAATAATACACATGTGTATCAGGAAACTCAGATCTAAAAAAAATAAAATTTGGGGTGACACACACAATGTATTTTACTTTCTTCAATCACAGCCCTTGACTGGTATAGTATTTGAATTAACGAAGGTCATTAAATATCTTACTTAATATAGGCCACCAAAATTATTATGAAATCTTGATATCACTGTATCAACGTATGATGATATGTAGGAATGAATGTATTATGTACACAAATACTTGTTTTGTCAGAACATCCTAAATTCCAAATTCAAGGAATTGAGTCAAAGGTACTAGTACTACTTCGCCAGTTGGATAAATTGTTGCACAACATCAATATTGAACTCACCAATTTCCTGTACTGTAAGATCTTTGTCAACCAGGGAGTAAAACTTACGAGCAGCATTGACTTCACGTTTAAAAAAATTCATACATCGTTCCACCCATACCTAAAAATTAATTCACATAAATAAGACGAAATAGGAATTTTATTAAAAAATATTGATAAATGAATTTAATTTTTCACCTGAACTGGTTTATTCTCCGGAATAAAAGATCGAAACAATAATTTCGCCAATCGTTTTGACACTGGCATTCCATCAACTTCAAGTTGGGCAATGATGTTTTGGATGGGACACACACTCCAAAACTGAAAGAAAAACATGTTAGCCCACTCATAGAAATAAACAGTACTGGATATACATAGAATAGGATTTACATATTTATCCTGGGGGGGGGAGGAAAGCCGATAAGATGGCTCAACCATATGGCAAACCACAGCCTCTATCCAGTTACCATGTCGGGTAGGGTATGAGACTAGTTAGTTATTTGTTTTTTCGTAAGCATGAACTTGATGGTGGAGAAAGCCATGGCTGACCAGTGGTTACGTGAACCACCCTACGGCGGCGAGGAGTCCAGCAATCCTTTCGCACATGACCATCCCCGCATGGGATTCGAACCTGAAAACCCACGCAGAGTTATCAGAGGTACGATGGCGAGCGTATTCCTAACGCCGCACCATCATCATCACCAAACATTATTAAGTATTTCTCAAGAATGCAGTTCTACGCAATATGGTCACATATTAATAATAAATCAATGAGCCCTTTCTAAATACACAAGACCTAAGCAATTTTATGAGATTCTTCCATTACCAGTTGGTCACAATGATACTTTCTTAAACTCGAAACATAATGTTACATTCCTTTTTGAATAACAAGCAAATAGCATTGAATTAAAATAAGCATGGGCAACAGATTTATGGAATATAACAAAGCCAATACTGTTATTTAATTAGATTGAAATAAGTTGAAATCAAAACTCTTTGAAACTGGTGTAACAACACCTTTAAAATGGAATTTTGAGTTTAATAAAAGACCAAATTTAAACTTAAATAATAATTCAAAATGTTACTCTGAAATCCATTGGGGGTTTTAAAATACAAATCAGACTGCAAACCCAGCAAAATCAAAATTGATATCGAATTAGAATCAAATATTTTATGGATACCATCATCAAATAAGAAAATGGTTGGCAGTGTATTTCTAACATATCTCAAAGAAGAAGAAAAGTCATGGAGATATTTCTATGCAGACCAACCTCAATCGTGCTTGTTTGCTTGACTCCTAACAATACTTCGGCTACGGCGATCCGAACTTTTTCATTGATATCATGCAGACATTTTTCAAGACATGGAGGTAATAATTTGGCAAGTAGTGGATGAGCACAAGGTGTATCAAGAAGAACGATTGTGGCCTGAGAACATTATGAAAAAACAATATGACAATGCTTGAATATAGAGATAGGAAAGTTAAATAACTAATATGAAAATGTTGAAAGAACTTCAAAGTTTGTCATATGAATTGTACCAAATGACATGGCAAGGTATCCATCTCCTTGTATCAGGGTTTCTAAAACTTTTTGAGCAGCGGACCCCTGTTTGTGAATCTTACTTTTGGCGGACACCCATCCTATGTCGTATCAATTTCTGTGCCTAACCAATGAGGAAGCATAATGTTCCCTTTGACAAAATAAAACTCATGAAAGTCTGAATCAATGCAATTCGATGCGATTATGATCTATTTGTATATGTTTCAGACTTTTTTCATATCGCTGCGGACCACCTGCACAGTCATCACAGACCCCAGTTTGTAAAACCAACATAATATGGGGTGATAGGTCAGGCCTTGTAGTAATACATAATTTGGATAAAAAATAAAAAACCAAATCCATCTTCAAGCACAGCAATTTGAAATTGATTGGTACATCAGATATGAAGAAGTGACTTTTCAAAACAAAAGGTAGGTGAACAATAAACATAGATTAGTGAATTGAATAAATCTGAATAATTTTTTTTGAAAAATCATTGTCACTGTGATATTCAAAATGTAAATGACCACAAGCAATGATTCAAAAAAAGATAATCGCTCACCTGGAATACAGCTTGTCTTACATGTACTGTTGCATCAAAAGCAAGATCATTGTATAACTTCCTAGTTAGAATAGCTATTACATGAGGTGGAATAGCATCCCAGTACATATGCAATACATTGCAAAGTCCAAAAATACCTGAAAATATGATTATATAGAATATAAGCGTAATATGCCTATATGAATATAACATCAAGTCAAGATTTTAGTCAGTCTAGGTATTTTGAAATCTAACAATTAATTACCTATAACTCTGACCCTAGGACAGACATCCATGAGCATATCATTCATTGCATTATATTGTCTTTGCATGAATTCTTCATTTTCAGCAACTCTCGGCCGATTTGAGTCTTCTTCTTCCAGAGGAAATGCATCTAGGAGTAATTTGGAAGCATTGGCTCGGACCATCGCGTTGTTGGCCTGGAATTTACAACAAATATTATTAGCAAAGGAATTAGGCAAATAGCTCATACAATCTAAGTATTTCTTTATATGGATATTGGAGATGTATACGAGGACGTATATCTCATCATACATCAATAGAGGTAGAACTTCGCGCCTAATCAAGGATTTGGACAAACTACAATTATTATATTCACACATTTGTTTCTTAGAAGATTCTAATTCCTTTTCTTAGGTATAGTCTACGAAATTTATTGCTCATTAGGTAGACATGGTATATAAACCTACTTGCATTAATCTGCTATGCCAACATAGTTAGGTCCCCAAAGTGCTACAGGATATATTTTGTAAAACATCAATAATAACTTCATCTTTATGATTTTAAAAAAATACTGGACACTTTTACAAATTTGAAGAACCATCAATATCAAACACATACCTTCAAAGATCTCCATATAATAGGATTATACAGCCTTGTGATCATGTGACGAACTTCCAAACCCCCTTTATGACACACAATGGAAGACAACATTGTTTTCAAAGGGAGAAATAAATTGAATTCCTTAACACATGGAGAATGAACAGCTCTGGTATGAATAAAAAAAAAGATTTGAGTAAATAGAGTGAAACCAGAGAAAGGCAAAAATGAAATATTTATTTATTCAATTCATTATTTCCTATTTATGGTACTCCTGTAGTATGTGACCCAAGATGTCGGACACCGGAACGTAGTAGGTGTACCAGTTTAGGGTTAGGCCATAATTTTAGGTATGAATACTACGGGAGTCACTTGGCTAATCCCCGAACTTGTAATAGAACTAAAATATGGAAAATTGGGATAAAATATGGCCTAACCCCAACCTGGTACACATACTATGTTCCGGCATCCGCCATCTTGGTTTACATACTACGGGAGTACCCTATTTATTTACTTATCAATCTTGATCTTCAAAATATTTCTTTACTGGCCAAATAAACTCGCCATTTGAAAAAAAATTTGAACATGAAATAAAGAATTCATGTTCATACTATAAATGTATTAATTTGAATTCATATTTATTAACAATTCCTCATAACCTCATCTTACCTGTACATTAAATCTTGAATACAAATTTCTTCAAAACTCTCCTTCATCTCTTGCGAAGCAGATCTCCATGATTGAAAATAAATATTGCCGAGACCTTCTGCTTGTTCCAGAGAAAATTTATGCTTGATGTTGTCCATGATAACTTGATGTGCATCTTTCATTAATTCCTGTATCAAGAAACATGAATGTAAAGATGGTTAATCGCTGATAGATTAAGATATTGAATTTACAGTTGGCATTTCATAATAAGCGCTTTGAACAGCCTTGGCAACGAGCCTTTGATTAACCTGCATGGACTCGCAGGTTTGAATCTAGTTGGATATAAATAAAGTAAAATTGCTGCATGAATTCCTAGCTTCCTATGGTGGGTAACGGAACCTTTTCTCCCATCAAGTCTTGTCAGATCATAGTCAATAATTCAATTTGAATTCTTTAGGAAAAATGCTGATTTTCGTCGCTAGAAAAGATGCGAAAATTGCATATAACATCTGATTTAGTTACTAGAACTAGATAAAACGAGCCTATATTAAGATTACATTACATTTACGCAAAAATTTAAGAATAGTAACTAAAAAAATTGGTGAGCAAATAATTAAGTTAATTCCTTGCACATGGTGCCATTACATTGAAGTAGGTAAATTAGTGGAAATCGAACAAAGTACATATTGTAAAACAACAATAAAATAAAAAATACCTTGTGCAAAAGAAATACTGATGATAAAAATTTCCTGCCCTCTGCTTTACAAAGCAACAAGGGATATTTAAAACTGCTCAACAACATTTCACGGAGTTCCTAGAAAAAGTGAAAGGAAATTAATATTGCATAATATTGCAAAAATCATTTAAAAAACCTGAAAAGTTAGTGCAAATAATAAATCAATCAATATGTACATGTCGCAACCCACTGGTAGGGAAGAACAGCCATAAATCACAATATTACTGGATATGAATTAGCAAAAAAATACATTGTAACCAGTTAATCGAACAAAAGATATCTTTGCTGGAACAAAGTTAGAACAATTGTGAGCAAAAGCATTTATTGTAGATTCGTGAACAAGTTAAGAGAGTAGTCAAGCACCTCAATCACACTCTTTGCATAATTCTCTTCGGTGGCATCTTCATTCTCAAAAGCAGATATTTGTTTTCTTTTGAAATCAAATAATGTCAAACAACCTTGCATACTACAGATCGACGATAATTTGTCACGCTAATATAGAAGAAAAAAGATTGTATATCTTTAAATTTTTAGCAATATTGAAAAATAAATGAAAATTATTAAATTAACTTGAAAAAATCTTGAAATTTGTCAAAACAAAAAGTTACTAACAGAAGATTATGTCATTAAATGGTATGTGTAATTTACTATCTTAAAAAAATTAACAAACCAAACATTTTAGCATAAGTCCATAAAAATTTAAAAGTTGTGTCTATGTTAAATAAAAAATAGTTTCAAATGGTATACCTGATCTTTACATAGAAACAATCTGAGTTGATGAGTTATAACATTGAGACAAATTTGCTCTTTTGAAGCAAGATTCTTGTTCCACCATTCTACACATATCGTGCAAATACAGGATGCTAAAACTGGTCTGACATCATAAAGATCAAATAGAGAACCTGACAATGAGATGGAGAGTCCAATAATACGAATAAAGTGATAATAATTTAGGTACAGTGGTGAACTAGAAATACAAAATGAAGAACATGGGCCCCAGTGGAGAACCGCTGATATACAAATACAATCTCTCTACATTTCAGTGGCTGGTTGCAAAGAGCCTTGTATGAGTCAAAAGCATGTGAAGCGTTAATTTGGAAAGTAAATTTTGGATATTTTAAAACATTTAGAAAATTAAATAACTATCATTATACAATGGTCTAATATTAAATGACCTACCATGTAGTAATATGAGAATTTGCAGCATGTCTTTATTTGGAGTCTGGTTATCAAGTCTGACAGTTGACAAAAGAAAAATGCAAACAGCTTCCAAAACTTGAAATGGTATCTCTTTGTTTTCCTCATTCTAAAATGATAGCAAAATCAAATTTACGTTACATTCAATACCATATTTGACCCACACAGCAGAATACTTGAGAGTGTCATCTCAATCAACCAGAAAATAGGCAGACGAAATGTCAAGAGCATGTTTCTTATACATGAACATATACAGTCATACCTCGGTAGCCAAACGACCTAATACTCAAACAATTCGGTAGTCGAATTATTATACCCAAATATTCTAGTCGAAGCTGCGGTACCGAACTGAAACTCGGTGCTCGAACACCTGAGCGCCTCAAATGAGATGACGTCATCTGAACCGCGAATTTCGGAACAAGTGAGCTATGCTCAATTATATGAACATGAAGGCCAAAACGAAGTAGTACGGGGTATGCGATCTGTCACAGTAGACTGTCGGTTCGACAATCTTCACGACTAACGCGAAAGTGGAACCGCCACAAGATGCACAGTTTTTGATGATGTTATTGCACACAAAAAATGAATCCCATAGAGCCCACAGAAATTTGCTCAAACGTAAAGTAACTAATACAAATTTTTTTTTATTTATTCAACTTTTTCATATTTAAATCTTTATGTACATATTTAAATAATTATTGTTGTTCAACTACACGTTTTGTTAATATTTGGGAATGCATAAGAACGAATTGGAACACTTACCGTGCGTACCATAGTTTCTTATAGCACTATATATCACAGTATTTATTATGTTTTGGGTTACATGGTGGAATTCGATCCAAGAAATTACTCTGTAATGGCAACATAGTACAGTCCAATGCTGTAAGCACGGACTAGGCCATCATGTCCTCAAAAACAAAAATTTGAAAAAAAATGCATACCTGTATATTGTCATCGATATTTTCCTCATCTAAGACATTACTACTTATTTGTCCCAGTCCATCGATTGATAAAGTTTTCAATCCGAGCCAGAAGGAATCTAGTTGCTTTGAATTTAATTCCTGGTAAAAAAAAACAGCAGAAGTTTATTTCAAAATTTTGTAGGGAATAGGGTAAATTACTTCAACAATTCCTAATAGAAAAAAAAAATTTCGAATAAGAAAATCAGAAAAGCAAAATTGTCAGTTGGAGACTGACTGGACTATCTTTGCTTCGATACTGAATGTTATACCAAAAAATTTTTTGTTATTCATAACATCGGCTACACTTTGAAGTTACGGTATATTGTATATAGGTACATTATAACTTTACCATAGATATCAAGTTGTATTCTAGATTAGTTTAACTAATTGAATGTTTTTCAGATATAAATTTGTTAATTTATGTCCTTTTTTGAATCAATTGTATGAAAAAATTTCATACTTTTAACAACAAAAACATGTGAAATTGCACAAAGAATATCCTATAAATCTCCACAAACCTGTATAATTTCTGAAACAGTCGATATTAACTTTTTCCCTTTGCCATTTTTAAAATCTCCAAACTTAGTGTGATGTTCTCTCCTCAAGTTTGCCACAAATTCGATACATTTTTCACTATTCTCAGAACAAGATAATAGTTCTTCTCTTCTCTTTTCACCCATGCTACCATAGAAGCTTTAGATAGGAGTCTAGTTATAACTAGAATACATGATGATACAATCGTATTGATCAGTGTGCATGAAATGAATTAAGGAACCAGTTACTAGATATACATATTTAAAACAACTATTTGAAATGAATTTATGAAATAATTGAACATATTTGTCCCAGCCGACAATACTCTAATTAAGCAGAGTAGCAGACATTGAGATATTGGGGGATATTATTTTAAAAATAACGAGAATCATAAATGAATCTAGCATAAAATCATGGGGTGTCAAAAATATACCAATGAAACTTTTTGTTTTACAAATACTTGGACAGACTAATATCACTGCTATATTTATTAATATTACCGGTAAGTCATTTTTGCTACACTTCTATAAATATGTACGTATATTAATGATAAAAATATACAATAACAAAATTGCATTGATAGAAAAAATTGAGAATTGTGTCGATTATATAATTATTTTGGTTAAAAATACCCATAATTATGTAAATCAATAAAGGTATATATATATTCTTTTTCATATTATATATCTATGGCACTAACATTTAATCACATACAAAAGACTTTGAAGACACTACAACTCAAGCAATATGTCTATAAAAACAGAATGAATAAATAGTATGTTGAATTCGAGAACAACGAATACAATTTTGGTCATCAAAAATAGAACAAGAAAACTAAATAAGAACAATAACCCAGTAGTGAAAGAATTAAACCTGAATCATAGTAAAGAAATCTGTTTACATTATAACATACACTTATCATTGTTGATAATCAGTGTTTAATCATGATAGAAATAGTGTAACAATTAAACGATTCACGTATTTATTCACCTATTGTCTCAAGGGTTCTGGAAAGATTTTCATTTATTTCCCCAAAAAGACAGATTTTTCCAGACCATCTTCTACCTCAGGCCTGTATTCCAAATGGCTTTTGAAGAATGTACTTTTAAATAGCGGTTCATTGCGAACATATTCAAGATACTCTGGGGCACCTGGGTATATTACATTATCAGCCACGACAACAGAACCCTTCGCAAGTAGATCATTCTTTATAAGGCTAATCAAATCCGGCTTGTATAGTGCTTTCATATGATCAATGAAAACAAAATCCAACTTGTCAATGCCATGTTTGGCTTTCAAGGTTGGAATTACTTCATCAGAAGTCCCGACAATGATACAAATCTTGTCTAATAATCCAGCATAATCTACAAGTTTTTCAACCAATTTGGCATATTCAGGATTAATTTCAAGGCAATACAGCTTCCCACCATCTTTCAGAAAACGAGCCATTCTGACTGCACTGTATCCGACAAATGAACCAAGCTCAATCGCAACTTTGGGGTCTCTCTCTTTGAAAAGGCTATCTAAAATAACACCTTTTGTATCTCCTATATTCATACTCCTTTTAGCATATTTCCAGCAATACTCATCCATAGATTTTAGTATGCTTGTAGGATCGCCACGTTTTCCATGTTCAAGAGCATGTGCCACCATCTTCTCTGGATCTGGAGCAACAAATGCAGGATCCGAGAGAAGATCAGAAGAAATTTTTGAATCCATGACTGGAACAAAATAGGGAGGGAGTACTGTGAACTGGAGATTATTAATAGAGATTTTACTTAGGATGGGTCGGCTTCTGTGACAGCAAATAACACTGCAAACTTAATTTGTTGGAATAAAATTAGAAAATCTGATCTGTGGAGTCAAGAAAATTGGATGATGAGAGAGAGCTCTATGAGTCCAGGTGGAGTGATAATTTGAGCAATGGAATATTGAGCAGCTATCAGCGAGATAACATTCCAAAATGAACGTATTACAATAAAACAAATATATGGCACATGATACTGTAATGAGCTAAGGGAAACATAGAATTAACATGACTTGTGAAAACTCAATACAAACACTTGAAACAACATGAGTAACTTCAATATTTGTATCTCATCATGAACGGATGAATAGCATGTTCTATTTAACGATTATCATGTTCCTACGGTACATATTTAACATTACCAAAGTATATTTGTTTTAGATTACATCATAGAATTTGAGCATGACTAAGCATAAAAGAAATGGTTTCATATGGCAAAAATACGTTTTGTGGTACAGATCATTTATGGTAATTTACTCAATTTTGCATAATGCAATACATTTATCAGTTTTTTTTTCTTTCATAGGCTATTACCATGATTATCCAATGTCTTCTAGCCCACTTAAGTATCTCTCCGACTCTGCCACTGGTAGGCACTCTTTGACACTGATCGGAATGATCTTATTCCAACATAAAAGTGTATTTTTGTTCCTTGGGTAAGGTTGAGGTTCAAGAGTGATAATGATTTATTTTCTGAATATATTAAAAATTTACAGATTACAATGAATGGAAAAAACTATCATAAAATATAATCGGGAGGGGGCGGGTCAACTATTTCGACCGACCCCTAAAAAAAAGAAAAATTCCTCTTAGGACAAGACATTCAGCAGTCACGAGGAAAAAAGGCTGCGTATAGATCTTACCTCAATTAATTACAACAATTATTTGATGGATTATACATAACAGTTCCAAAGATAACGTAATATAAAAGGGGGGGTTACTCAAAAAGTTAACTATTAATCTAACACAATACAATCTTTGAAATGGGGCCTATTTGAATTAAGGAAGAAGAAGGAATGACAAAGATAGATACATATTTCAAAAAGAGAGTACAGTCAACAGAAACTTTTAAGTAAATCTCTGATCAGAAATCCAATTTGGAGAAAGAAAAAAAACATTCTATAGTCATTTAAAATATTTCCTAATTGTTGAAAACTCAATGAAAACAGCAAGTTTTATAAGCCAAATGTAGTTGATGAATATACATAGCTAAAACTGTGATTGGTGTTTTTTTATTATCAGATATTGAATTTGAAACATCAACATAGTTTTAATATGAGTTCCCAACTATTATTACAGTATTACATGGCTCGTTAGGTATGCAGTTAGGTGGTTCCATCAAAAGCAACAACACGCACTTTCGAGGCTCAGTTTCGCCGTCGGAATAATGGGTGCAAATTGTACAATGGTTTAGAAAATGGCTTAGAAAAAAACAAACAAAATTATCAATATTTTATTATTCAATATTTTACAAAGTTGCTCGACCCCATTTACCTGCTACCAACCTAAAACACTTGGATGCCAAAATTACGAAAATTTATGTAAAGATAACTTTTTTTAATAAAGATGAAGTACAGAAATACAAATTAATTAAAGCTTTACAAAATTCACTGAAATTGATTAAGATTTAGAATAGGATTTACAGATTTGTCCCAGAGAAAAGAAAAGGAATAAGACAGCTCAATTTTATGTCGAACCACGGCCTCTCGTTCAGTTAACGTTACCCGGTACGGTACCAGTCCATATCGGATACCGTATCAATCAATCATTTATTTCGGTACTCTTACATAAAACAGTAAAAACAAAACATGGGATTAGTTAGCCAGGTACGGTATTTGCTTCGTATGCATGGACTCAACGGTGGAGGTAGTTAGCATACAAGTCCACACTTTTTTATAGAAATTGGTACCAGTACCGGTACCGTAAATAAGCTTGTAGGCAGTCAGGGAAATAGTTTTTACTAAACCTGTAAACTGCCGTACCTGCGCATGTGCACGGAATCGCTAACAATATTATTACGGTATGTAACTTGGGCTCTGAAAACTTTTAACGACTGATTCTCATTTTATTAATATTAAAACAGCTCAGGCGAATGTCCCATGACTCCGTTGTCACATGACGATGACTAAGCGTCCATAAAAACTGGAAATACGTAACAATGGACACGGTCAATTTTTAACACTCGCGTACTTTTCCCGCCAGTTACGCTGCGAGCCTGCGACCCCATTAACTGCTCGAGATTGCCCACTAGCAGGGAGACGTATAAAAACTGTCCTAGGTTTATATGGCTGATGCATTTCATGTAAACCCGGTGAGAGAGAGAGAGAGATTTATTATTTGTCAACCAGAAAAAAATACAATGATAATATTAAAAATATAAAGCAATAACAAGAGAGCTACGCACAAATATATGGACACGTTAGACCAGAGCGAATCAGTCCTTACCGGTACCTTTGACGCTACCGGTACCCTCAAAAAAGTTCTGAATTTCCAGTAGCAAGAATTTTGCAGAATCAAAACGTACAGCCAGTCATGACACTTGTAATAATATCTCTACCCTTGATTTCTATACCGGAGTGTAGAATATTATCAGAATAAAACTCGTTGTTTCAGAGTACTGTGTTTACTTCACGAATCAGAAAACGTTATACATGTTATACACTGGGGGCAGGCCAGAGCAAGATAATAATGGTATGAAAGGTCATGAACTTAGGCACTGAATTAATATAACATAATATATGCAATATCACTACATCCCCCTTTTTTCCCAAATCAAGCCATAACTTGCAATACACTCAAATGTTCAAGAAATAACACTCAAAAGGAATTATTAAACATTCAATTAATGCTGGTATCTTTGAGGAACTTTGACTGTTCTTCCAGACCGTGTTATTGTCGGTTCTTGCTTGATCGGGGTCTGGGCTGGAATTTTTAAACTTCCCTCAGACTGATTACTGCTGTGTGGCTTATCAGCAATCTCTTGTTTGTTGGTCGAGTTTGAACGTTCTTTAGTATTTGATGGTTTAGGCGAGGTCCATTTGAATACATTCTCCTCTCTTTCCATCAAAGGTGTTGCTGGTGTATTGTTCTCAACATTGGTTGTGCTCGAAGATTCCACATATGGTGAAGCTGGCAAGCTTTCACGCAAATGAATTCTGTTGCGTTTCAGCTGATTTCCATTGCTCATTTCGATGTTGTATGAACGATCATTCTTCTTTGAAATCACCTTTGCAGGAATTCACATATCTTTTGCTTTATCAAACACTCTCACATCTTGTCCATTGTGAAAAGGCGGTAAATTTTTTGTGTGTTGATCAGCATATTGCTTTTGTATATCGGTATTATGTTTCACTCTGTCTTTGTAAATTTGTGGAACAGTATTGTCTGAATGACAAGGCAATAATGTAGAAATTCCTCTTCCAAACAGTAGTTCTGCTGGGCTTGGTAATACATTGTCAATCGGTGTTGCACGGACATTTAAAAGTGCTGCATCTATATCTCCTCCGGATTTGATACACTTTTTCATAATGGGTTTAATATATCGAATTTGTCGTTCGATAAAACCATTGCTCTGTGGGTGTCTAGCTGTACTGGTTGTATGAGTAATTCCCCACGCTTCACAAAATTTATCATATTTGCTTAAAAAACACGATCCATTGTCTGTCACAATCTCTCTCACAGTTCCAAACATGGACAATATTTCTTTGGTTTTGGAAACCACATATTCTGCTGTCATTGAATTTAATTCTTTTACAACAGGGTACCTGCTGTAGTAATCAGAAATTATCAAGAAGTTTCTACCTTGGATTTCGAACAAGTCCGAACCAAGCTTGACCCATGGATGTGATGGTCGTTCGTGCATGATCATTGGTTCTTTTGTTTGCTGTGGTTGTACTTCTTGACAATATTCACATGACTTTAATATTTTCAATATCTTTATATATTCTTGGCCAATATACGCAATCTCGTGCAAGTCTACGAGTTTTCTCAATACCTTGATGACCATGGTGCAATTGTTGCAAAATTGACAATCGGATAGGTTCTGGAATAAGTACTTGCTTACCCTTAACCCTCTCCGGGAATGCGTAACTCGTATGCAACAACATATTGTAAACTAGCTATCACCCACATTTTCTGCCGTAGAATGCTTTTTTCTACTCAGCGTACTACTGCGGTACTTAGTTGGTTAGATGCAACTGCTATTTTGCATTGCCGCCGCCTGATGACGCTGCAAGCGTCTCTTGCAAGATGCGGTCTCTGGTGCTCGTGTCAGGCTGATGAACCATGGTCATATTTTAAGCAACTATACCAATTCTTATACACCGAATTCGTCATATCACTGCACGGGGCAAAAGAATAGTGTATACACAAGCTTTACAAACTGATTGCAACCTCGAACGATTTATGTGGTTTCACGAGGGGGTGGTTTAAAATTGATGTCGCATAGGTGCAACATCTTCCCTCAGAAGTGGATTTCGGTTGTTAAATTAGCTAATATTCGTCTGTTTAGTTTTGTCATTTATGTTGGCTTATTGAGCAGATAACGTAATTTATGAGTTTCCTATGTCATATAAGTTAGAATCAGGTTTATTAGGATGCAGTATTATGAGAATTTGCTGATTAGGGAAAAATTTGGCTTCAGATAATTTTGTTGTAAACAGAAGATTTAGAAAGCGTGAAATAAAATATGCACGAGTGCTATGTTTCAGATTTGAAACCAAATAAAATCCAAGTATTTTAGCCATAAATACGGGGTTAAAATAATAGAGAAGTGTCTCAGATTGATTCAGATTTTCTATTTGTATTCTCAGCGATCTAGCAGAACGATTGTGAATATGCCGACGGGTGAAATTGCGTTGAATTAGCGCATATTTCCAATGTCACACTTTCAGATAAAGAGGCAATTGAGACTTACAATTATGAATATGATGAGGCTGATCTTGATAAAACACGTAATTTCCAGAACGATATTTATGTAGCTAAGATTTTGAGCCTAAAAAATCAGACCATTTCAGCATTTTGCCGGTTGGAATTTATATGGACAGACAATAGCAATCTAAAAACAAATCCAAAGTTGAAACTTAGTCGTGTTTGGAAAGTCCGAGGGCGGCGCCGTTCACCCAGACAAACAGAAACCTAATTCAACGTTCGAAAGAGCAGTTTTTCTCTTGCTCCGAATTTTTGACAACACCATAAAGATAATGCAATCCACTCATAAACCAATCTATACTAATTGTGGAGCAAAACAATAAATGTATACACAAAAATGGAATTTGCCTGAACACAAATGCTGCAGAAAACTATCGCTGGCCGTGTTTTTTATAGCCTCTTCCAGAGTGGGGGCAAAGTCGATCGATAAATTCAAACGAAAGTCTGAATTGGAAAGAGAAGACATTCAGTCCAAAAAATATCGAAATCGTAAAAATGTGAATAAACACACAAATTGCCAAAGATTTTTCTGCTACCAAAAAACTTGGTTTCCAATTTTTTCGCATCGTAGCGTAATTAAAATGACTTTCACGCTAAAAAGTCGTTATCTGATAAAATACGTAACAGTAGGTAAATGCAAAATTATTTCGATGTAAAAGCTAGATTTTCTATATTCTTGCATTTTAATATATATGGAAATTCAAAGTTTCAAAATAATTTTACAGAAATAGGTAAACGAAAGTGTCAAGGGACAGCTCATATGCATTTTCTAAATATTTTGACTTGCGAAACTAATAGAGTGCAAAAACATGATCTATATTAACATTTGTTTACATTTTGATGCGCCTTTTATTCATAATTGGAGTTTTGAATTGAGCCATGAAATAGGTTTGACACTCCCATTAATATTTTTAACCATCGTAGTATATATACTGGCCATGTTACAAAGTATTGCAGATTAAAAAAACATACATGTGATATCTTACAATTAGTCCTTTCCGGGCACAAGTTGCACTAGTGCAACATCCGGTAAATCCCCCCATGGAGTCGGAGTGTCGAAAATTTTCAAAAATTCATCATATA